ATTAATATTATATTATTATTTATTTACAAATATCCTAAGCCACTTTCTAAATTTTTTAAATTCTTTAAAAATTGGCTAACAGAGAACATGTTTAAGGAAATAAGAGAGAAAATGGAAAGTTAGATTTGGAGGCCGTAGAGTAATTTTTGTCCGTCGATTCTATTGCGAGATTTGCTTGTCTCGTTATAGGAAACTTTTATCATATTTCTGATTTCAATAATTTTGTTTTTTTGATACTTTTCAAATCAAATTTATGTTTCCGTTTTTTAAAAAATGAGTATAATTTTGTATTGGTAAAACATTCACAGTGTAACTTTATATATATAATAGAGATTGAGATTATGAACGTTTTGAGTATTTATTTGAGATTTTTTTTAGGTGATTTTGAAAAGCAAAGATTTTTTCTTATTTAATAATTTATTTTGACATCTAAATATAGTGCTTTAGTTCAATTCAAACTTTGAATGTTGTTCTATATGATATCATCTGATAATTTGGTTAATTTTTGAAAATGTAAAATTTTGCTTGGTGGGGTTTTCTGTTGCCTACCATTATGATATTTTTGCACTTTCTGAATTTAGCTCAATTATGCTTTATTTATTGCAATGTATTGATTATGAATGTGAATATGTCGCTATTACTATTATATTACTATAATAATAATATGTGTGTGTAAAAGACAAATAAAAATTGATTGACTCGTTGGTTGGAGACTAATTGATCTGTTTAGGATGGTGGGCTGATGAACTTTCCTTTAAATATTGTGGTTTGGTGTTATTCTCTTATGAATCATGTGATATTGTTTAGGAGTTATAAGGAGTTATTATTATCTCAACGGGCAAAGAGTGACGACTCTGTTTACTAAGCTAATGGTTACTGACTATCGATTACTGATTATTGAAAATATCGTGATAGACAGAATTTCTTGTTTAGTGTGACTACTGAATGCATGATATTGATGCACTATTCATATTACTATATAGATTTATTATGACTGCACATTTATTGTTACTGCTTTATTTTATTGCTCCTACCACTAGACTATTTCTGTTACTGATATAAACATCGATATTGTTTGATATTACTAATGCACCGTACTAATACTAAGCACGTGACATACTAAGCACGTAATATATTGATTTGATAATGATATATAATACATGGATACTATGAGTACACTCTTGCATTTATAGAATTTGATAGTCATATTGATCTTTTGGTTTTATCGTTTTATACAATATTTTTACTGATTGATAATACTGGTACGACGATTACTTTAGTGATTTGACACTCATACTAGTTTACTGGCTTTTATAACATACTGTTTTACTGCTTTACAGACTTTACTGCTAATGTATGTGAGTTTTGTTGTTTATGCACTGATTCAATGATCATATGAATGCTATTGTTATGATTTGATTGCTGATATGCATATTACTCATTTGCCTTGCATTATGTTCAATTGTAGGATTTGGTTACTTGTTGGGTTCTTGAGCTCATTATATATAGTTAAATGATTTCAGGTAAGGACAAGAGAGTATAAGTGAGAGACTGACCAGGAACATTCTAGTTTAAGTTCTTGTTATTTTAACAATTCTTTTATACTCATGATTGATTAGTTATGATATGATTGTATAGATTTTGAGTAGTGTATATGATTAAGAAATGAATAAAGATGTATATTTTGGTGTTTTGATTTATAGTTTTATTTATGTTGTTATTTATATTAATAAAAAAAATTAGGTAGCTCTGATTGTGTAAATCAAAAGATAAAAGAATAATTATTCTAAATTATATTCTAGGGCATCACAAGTAAAGCCACTAATTCACCCAAGCATCCTCATTTCTACAACACTTAAATTAGTTGTATGCTTGTCTTTTAATGGTCAACATTCTGCGCCATAAAACGTTGCAGGTCTCACCACCATCTTATAGAATTTTTCCTGAAGTTTGAGGTTTCCTTTTCTATTACCCAACAGGCCCGATGCATTCCTCCACTTCAACCATCAAACTTGAGTTTTATTAATAATAATCCATTTCTTTTTTAAAACTCTCCATACCACTTTTCTTGGAATTTTATCATAAGCTTTTTCTAAATCAATAAATATCATATTTTGATCCTCCGTATTCTCCCTATACATCTCCATGAAACCCCTCAATAAATGTATAGTTTCCATATTAGATCTACCTAGCAAGAATCCAAATTGATTCTGAGAAACATTAGTATCACGACGTAACCTATACTTAATAACTCTCTCTTAAAGTTTTAAAGTTTGACACATTAACTAAATTCCTCTATAATTCATACTATTGTGCATCACCTTTATTCTTAAAAATATGAATCAATACACTCCACTCATCTGACATCTTTTTAATCTTCAAAATAATATTGAAAAGCTTCGTTGGTCAAGAAAATTTTTGATCTCCTAAGCATTTCCACACCTCTATTGAAATATCATCAAGTCCAACAACTTTTTCATTCTTCATTTTTCTTTAAAGTTTTTCTAACTTTAGTTTTATTAATACGTCGCTAAAAATAAAAATATTTATTTTCATTTATGATGCTAAGGTTGTTAAAGTCGATCATATTCTCACAATCTTCATTAAAAAACTTATCAAAGTATCTCATTTATCTTTTTTAAATATCCTCTTATAATAAAAGTATTTTTCGATCTTTATCCTTAATACATTTCATTTGAACTAAATTCTTACTTATATTTTTTTGTTTGACTAACTTATACATACATCATTCACCCTCTTTAAAATTTAATATATTATATAAATCATTAAAAATTAAATTATTGGCCGATATATATATATATATATATATATATTAAAACTTTCATAAACCCTAAACTAAAGCCTCTAACAAGTCACGTCTTCATGCACCCTCAAGTCGCAATAACTTTCTCTCAATAACCTCAACCTCTTGCCCACCGTTTTTGCTGTAGTCACCACGATCATAGCCACCGTCGAGAATCACTTGAAAGCTGCACACCACCACCATCACCTCTAAAAATTTTGGAGTATTATTCACATCTTTATGTTGAAGATAAATATATATGAAAGAAAAAGATGATTGAAATAAATGAAGAAGAAACAAATTGAGAGGCATTGAACTCCATAGGATGAGACATGGGAGATATCAATTTGTTATGACAACGACTCAAATAAAGGCCCCTCATTGATGACATTGCAGATGATTTCTGAGTTGTTGTCAATTATGTCAGCTTTTTTTAGGAATTGAATGTGGATGAGTACGGAACTAAGAAAGAAGGAATTTGGAGTTGAACTTAATGATATAGGATACTTTTACGTGATTCTAATATTTCATGTTGTTTTATTCTTGTAATATTTGGATTTCAATTCTGTTTCACATAATCTGTCACTTATCACTTTATGTCTTGTGCAATTTATGTGTCATATGTATGCTAATTTGTTACTTCATAGTTCAAAAAAAAGTTAATATGTTATTATTTAACATATTATTTGAGTGTTATATAAAAAATCACTTTTAAAATTTATTTTCAATTTACACAATTTTTGAATTTTGAGGCTTAACGCATCAGAACGCCTTGAGGCTTACGTCTCGCTTTTCGAAAGAAAAACGCTGCAATACCCGATTACGCAATTTTAAACCTTGCTACATAGTATTAGCTTCCTCATGTACAATAATAATCTAATGATGTACAATCATAATCTAATGATTTTGAATCTTATTTTAAAAATATTTTTGTTAGTATTATTTAAATGCCCCATCTAATCCTAGGACAATATTTTATTTTATTTTTCATATTCCACCCTCTCATCTTAAAATTTAAAATTAATAAGCGATGCTGGGTGCATAAATTTTCTCTCGGAATAACTTTACAATATTTACAATTTAAATAATTTATTTTTTTATAAGAAAATAATCAATATGAGTTTTACTATATCCATTCTTATAGATGGTCTTATCTTTTCTTAAATAAGGCGTTAGTAATTATAAAATCATAAGCTAGAGAAAAATATAATATAATCTTACCACCTTCATTAATCACTCCAAACTCATAACTACCATGAATACTTTTTAAAATCTTCCACCTCTTTATCAACATGTACATTTAGTTCTCCTCCAATAAAAACACTTTGTTCAAGAGATATCTTTTGTATTAATTCTTTTAAGTTATTCTAAAAGTTTAATTTTGAACATATATCCAAACTTGCTTAAGTAGTAGAAGCACTTATGATATTAATAATTTTAGCATCAACAATAATCTTAAAATTATAATTCTATCTTTAATTCTATTTATTTCTTTCACATGATCATTCAAACTCTTATTTATAATTACACATACTTCATTTATAGTACAACTCTTACTTGAATACCATCGTTTAAACCCTAAACTATCAATCTCATTAGACTTCTTTCCAACTCATTTAGTTTTCTGCATGCATAAAATATTTATCTTTCTATGAATCATAATATATATTAATTCCATTAATTTGACTATAAGAAAACCTATATTCCAAGTTCATATCATAATTCTATTTTTCATGAATCACAATGTATTAAATGATTTTTGTCATTATTATTCAACAAGTTTTACGCTGGTTGTCGACCATCTAATGCAACCCTCCACTTTTTTCATCCAGGACTTGAAACCTGATAACGTTAGTGTTGTCAAGCAGAAGTTTAGTGTTAAGCCAAATTTAGGAAAGTAGGAATAAGAGGGTGATCTTTACTTGAGAAATAAAGGATCTGTTTGTGCAATATGGTGGTGTTTCTTCAGGTCCTAAAGGCCACAAAGATTTCTGATTCTTTTCTATAGTTTCTCCTTTAGCCAGTGCTCATAAATTTGCTCCAGCTATCTAGCATGTGCTCTTATGGTTAATAAAAATTAGGTTAAAGTTGAGGAATATCAATTATTTTTCTGAGCGTATTAATCTTTTATTTATTGCTCCATGCATGAATATTTTGATTTGGATAAAATCTTGATGCTTCATTGTTGGAATTGCAGTTTTGTTTAAAACTCTCACTATTAGCAGCTTTGCCTGCCAGTTATGGAGGTCTAGATGGTCGTGTGATATATATTGATACCGAGTCAAAATTTAGTTCACGCAGGTAGTGTAATCCCCTCAAACCCACTCTCTACATTCTTGAGACGATCTGTTCGTGGTGATTTTTTACATATTTTCTTGTTGTAATTGTTTCTGACAGGATGATAGAGATTGGAAGGAATAGTTTTCCTAAGATATTTCATTCTGAAGGGATGGCACAGGAGGTTTACTAGAAGCATGATATTACCTTCAATGTTTCTTTTCATGCATGATAAACTTATATTCCTACATGGATTCTCCTAGAATGTTGTTATTTTTTTTTCATGCAATAGCTATCAGTCTATCATTATAAATATGTTAAAAATGAAATTCAGGAGCTGACTCATCATAAAAGTTCATTCTACTGGGCATGCTGCTCAATCAACATTCTTAGTGTACTTAACTCTTGTATTTTGTGATGCAGATGGCTGGAAGAATAATAGTTCTGCGCCAAACATCATTATCAGAAATTACTGAGAGGTGATGGCATTAGAATCTATATTTTGTCAGTGTTGATATATTGAAGATTACAATACTGCTTGCTTTTATTGTTCATTTTCCTGCTGTATGTTGGTGATTTGGAGCTTTGAGGTGGGTTTCTTTTTAATCTTGTTTAATGACTTTGTACATGAGAGAAATATAGCATTGATAGTATTTTCTCAAAGGAAAATTTCTCAGTGGTACAACAACAACAACATCAAGCCTTTATTCCACTACGTGGGGTCGGCTACATGAATCCTTTTTCTCCATTGTGTCCTATTAAAAGTCAAATTCTCGTTTAAATCTAATAAAGAAAGGTCATTCCTAATATTTTCTAACCAAGTCTTTTTAGGTCTACCCCTACCTTTCTTAACACAAGTCAAATCTAATACCTCTACTCTCCTAATCGGGTCATCGGAAGGCCGCCTTTTTATGTGACCAAACCATCTAAGGCGACTCTCTCTAACCTTATCTTCTATTGGAGCTACTCCAACCTTTTCACGTATATGCTCACACTTTTGATTTGGAATTAGTTGAACAAGAATCTTGCTGTATGCGGCATTTGATGTCTACCACTATTTTATTAGTTTTGGGGCTTTTTTTATTTTATTTTTACCTAGTTTTTTTTTACAATGCTGTAGAAAATGGACCGGGTATCGAACCAATAAAAGCAGAGGTTAAAGGTTCAATAGTTCGACCGGAGTGGAATCGTATGATGTAATTAATATTTAAATCATTTAAATAAAAACCAAATGATATAATTAAAACAAAATGATATA